TTGGTAGGTTGTCAGTAGGGTGTTGGTAGGTGGTCAGTAGGGTATTGGTAGGTTGTCAGTAAGGTGTTGGTAGGTTGTCAGTAGGGTGTTAGTAGGGTGTTGGTAGGTGGTCAGTAGGATGTTGGTGGGTTGTCAGTAGGATGTTGGTAAGTGGTCAGTAGGATGTTGGTACATTGTCAGTAGGGTGTTGGTAGGTGGTCAGTCAGGTGTTGGTACATTGTCAGTAGGGTGTTGGTAGGTGGTCATTCAGGTGTTGGTACATTGTCAGTAGGGTGTTGGTAGGTTAGTTTATCCAAAAGGGATAATACATAACAAGTAATAACTTTTTAACAACATATTACTCACCAAATACTTCAATCTTGACTCTTCCATTTCGCTCGGACTGTTAAAAAGAATTAAAAAGAGTTAAAACTTTCTATTCCTAAGTTTCTTTGTTCATTCATTTACAATTAGCAAAGAATAAAATAAACTGAAAATAAAAATGAGCTCCTAGCAATATACCTTGATTTCCTGCGTGACTTGGGTAGCTTTGAACTTTTCATCTTTATCACAGCCCCTACCATTCCACTAACACCAACAAAACCAATCAGTTAATCAGAAAAAATTATCAACTTTATTTAGAGAGGGTGACATGAGACAGTGACAAGTGACTAACGTTAAACTTAAGGCGCTCTGTGGGAAGCATGGGTGGCGTAGCAGTGTGAGCGCTCGCCTCTCATCAATGCGACCCGAGTTTGAGTCCCGCCGGGCTTGTTGTCCTATGTGGTTTTCAGGATTCTCCGGTTAATTTTCCTCCCTCCACAAAAATCAACTTCTAAATTCTAATTTAATATACTGGCTGCCTTATCAATTGTGTTGAAAGGCCTATTAGGAATCAAGCCGTCCACCTAGGAGTTTAAAAACGCATTAGATTTATGAATTTTATCAGGATTTTTCAGCCTTTGTTAGAACAAGAAAGGGGTTACATGATTTAATTTTGACTTAGTTAGGTAGGGCTGGACAGGAATTATTGAGCTAAATATTTTCCCAACAGTCCCTCCCACTCAGTTAAAAAGTACTTAAATTCATGTACTAATAATTCATGAAGGAAACACAATAGAAATCATGACCATGAAGGAGGTTTTATATCTGATATAGATTCGTCTTCATTTGCATAAAGTTTAACTTGGATTTTCTCTATCAAACTTGGTTCATTTCGTAAAGAATTCGGTACARTATGAGAACATACATCAGGAGTTTTTTAAGCCGTTTAATAAACTCGCAAATCGTGTTTTATCGGGTCTAAAACCACTCGGCTACGCCTCGTGTTTTATACCCGATAAAACACTCCTGCTCGTTTATTAAACAGTACATATTAGTTTTCGACCTAGCTGATAATTATATTCTAAGTAAAGTTCTACCTGGTAAAGAGTTGTACCCTTGTCAAGGATGAACACATCATTTGAGTCCAAAGAGTGTTTGGTAAACGGCACTTGTTCGACCTTGCAGTTTCTTATCTGAAATATTATAACACCATGAACTGCATCGATCCTTAAATACTACAGTATAGTAAAATAATTTATTGTCTGACGAGGGAATATACTGTAGACCTCTTCACGTAATGTTTTCCCATTTCAGACCAAAAGATTCTTTAATTGAGTTGTATCCATATTTATGTGTCTTACCAAGCTGGGAATGATATGAAAACATTGCACCTTGAAAAGCAATGTTATTGGATTTCACAAGAAAACCCATAGTACACTCAGTTCTCTGTTGTACTAAGCATAGTTATGAACCAATCAAAGGAAGCATAGCATTGCAAAAATCTGTAATTAAGTATATTTTGGGTGAAAACTTACTGTTGTTCCTCTTACGCGAAGAAGGCGGGATTCATAGTTCTGAGGCAGTACATGTTTGAAACCAGATTTTACTCTGTTGAACAACAATTTAAGGGGGAAAATTATCAAGAATTGAAAGGGTCAAAAAGTTCTTAAAATTTCTGTGTATTTTCTGCCTTGTATACAGTTGATGATGGGAATCTACCTGGGTCTGGAAAATGAGATTTGATAAGGTTTTTCAGGGCCCTGCAAACTTCCAGGAATTTCTCAGGAAATCCAGAAGCAGTTCCAATCCAGTCAGCATAGAGTACTCAAGTGTGATGTCATGAAAAAATAAATTTTGACTTTAATTATTTTCGATCTCTAATTTCTATAGACAACCAAAAAAGACGTTTGCACATCAAATTTGACAAGAATCAGTCAAATATCAGCTGAGATATGACCATTTGAATATATAATTACTCCATACAAATCAATGTATTTTTGGCTGGGTTCCAAACGTTTGGAAGGGAGCCAAAAATACAATGATTTGTATAGAGTAATTATATATTCAAATGGTCATATCTCAGTTGATATTTGACCGATTCTCATCAAATTTGGAAACGTCTTTTCTGATTGTCTATCAAATTTGTTAACCAGAAATATGATCAAGACGTCATAATTTGAGTACTCTATTTAGGTCATTTTGATACATGTGTATGAGCGTTTCGATAGTATAGTTGATTCAATACATGTTATACAAGTCACTATCACACCTCTAAATGACTGGTTACCATACAAACCCACACAGGTAAAGCCCATTGGAATAGCATTCCAAATGTTATAGTGCAACTTAATGTTACCAGAGCCACTTAGACAAGAGAACGAATTAAGAGGACACTTTTTCCAATAATGAGCGCCAAAAACTAGACCTTCGTATGAATTTTGATCCCAATTTTTCTTTTGGGGTAATACTCAAAACCTTTTTCAAACAGTTAGAAACTGATGTACTATGATAAAATGCTTGTTTGAAGCAGCATTTACAATATTATTGTACAAAGATGTTTGTTGCATTTGTGTTAGAATGTAACTTTGTCAGGATTTTTCATAGAAAATAAATGTGAAATAAGCAAATGAAGGCCTAAACCTCATTTCCGATTCAAATTTTTGCTTTGATTCCACTTTTATCAGTCATCTCCACTTCCAAACAAGTTAACCTTTCTGAATAACAAGATTTTTAGCCTTGTACAACAGCCTTTCTTCAAGAAAATAGTTTTTGGTGCTCACCGCTTCAATACGAAAAGAATTCTCTCTTAAAACGTAGAATGAAAACAACGCATTCCTAAGTGCAGTCTAGGTTTCTGATTGGCTCCACTACCCAAAGTTGGAATGTATTGTTTTAATTCTACAATTTGATTGGTTCTCACTGTCTATTGTCCTGGTTATAGTAGTCACACTATAAAGGCATGAAATGGTTTCAAGGTTTAAAATGAGCTTGGTACAGAACTGTATGGATCTCTGACTGATTCTTACATATGCCTTCCAACTCACCCTCCTTCCAATACTCGTAGAGTTGGAAAGTAGCTTTTGAACAGCTTGGACTCATGACCCATCACTTCTCGATGTTGGACAGGTTTGTCTCCCAGCTAGAATATTTGAAGAGATTGGTTAGAAATTATTTAATAAAATCATTAAAATATATAAAGAAAAGCTTGCTAACAGTGGCTTAATCTAATTCTCAAAGACTTTTATTTATGTAAATGTATTTCACAACCACTATTCCCTGCAGTAAGTGGCTCTTCATTGAGATTCACTCCAACACTATCAACCCTCACAACCCTTACTTCAAGAGACGCTTAAAATAACTCGAATTGGTGAGATGAATGACTTTGACACAAAAGATCGTACTGAGAAGACTTTGTTTACTAATGAGGCCTTTCTGACCTCGCTTCCATGCAATTGTCCCTAGTCTCAACCGCATTATGCGGCCATTTATGAGAAAGATATATGGATAGTTTCCTTACATAGATGTCCAGTTCCACAGTCTTGTAGGCTGCTGTGCCATACTCGTCTTGAGAAGAGTTACTACCAATCCAAAAATGGACATCATAAAAAAATTCCTGAAATATCGAACAATCATTTGTTAATTACAAGATTACATGATATTACATAATATTTAATATTTTCCCTCCTGTATCCTAAAAATCATTCGTTTTGATTGGTTGAGTGAGGGGCAGTATTTTCTATCCAGGTCTGATATCCTGGGATAACAGACTGCCGTACAACAACAAAAACAATTGCACAAAAAAAAGCAAACAGGAAAAAATAAAGTTTTTTACTGTCCTTAAGTTGGTTCACTGATGGGAAAAAACTGTTTCCTCTGCCTTGAAAATGGAAGATGTCAGGCACAGTTTTTTCCTATCCTGACACCAATCTGGGCCCGGTTGTACAAAGCATGGATAGTGCTATCCGACAGATAAATCTTATCCAGTGGATAAATTTATTGGATATCAGCATGGACTTATCCACTGGATAAGGATTTATCCGCCGGATAGCGCTATCCAGGCTTCGTACAACCAGGCCCTGGCTGGTAAATTAATGCTACATCACGATATTAAAGAATGCTAAGATTATTCATTGTGCAACTTACATCGCTTTCCTCCTTTTGATAGGTATTAAGAATGATGTAGGAATCTCCATTGTAGAATTTACCATAGTCATTTCTTTGCAAAGCTTTAACCTGTCAGTTATGAAAAGAATAAAAATAATAACAAAGGTTAGTTGGCAATCAAGACAAACCATATTCAATATTATCATAATATGACCCATATCTGCTCGGGTGCGTGCTCTTAAAAACCTTCAGGAAAATGTTGTGAGCAGGGCCATATGGCTTTGATCGAGCAGGGCCATAAGAATCCATATGGCCCTGCTCAAATCCGTGCGCTTTCTTTTTTTAGTTTTTATTTACTATTTCTTTCTTTCTTTTATTTTATTATTTTTCTTTTCGTGAGGGTCATATGATAAAATGCTTATTGACTGAGTTAGGTCGGGCTGCACAGGAAAATATTTGCCTCTAGGTCATTTGTACAGACCTCATTATGGCATCACCACGTGCCAAATATTTTCCTGTACGGCTCTCTCACTCAGTCAATAAGTACATATTATAACCATTATCATCACTAGCATCCTCATCCTCATCATCATCCACCATCATCACTCTCATCATCATCATCAGTAAAAATAATTAGCAATGTGATTATTTATTCTATCAATGCGACCTATGCATTTTAATCTAAACAAATTTAGGTCAAAATATAATGCAAAGGGCACTATTATAGGCACCAAATTATCACAAAATTTCAACAAAGAAAATCCAATACTAATTGACCAAAAAATATGAATTATTTTCACATCAGACAATGTATAACAAGTCGAGCTGAACAAACCTTTAATAAGCCCGTGCACACGTAATAGAGATCAAGAATGCAGTCAATCAAACTCGAGTGACACGTAAGGTTTTAGATTCAATAAAATAAGATGCTTGTAAATAAGGGCATAAATTCCTTGTGGTTTAATCACGATCTAAAGAAGTTTCCAGAGTCGTGTGGGAGCATCATTAACAATCGTCTGACACTTGGAATACAATACTTCGAAGTTTCTGAACAATTTAATACTAGTTATTTTCAAATACTTCGGAAAAATTTTAAATATATATCAATTGAGTTTTTTGGTTGTTGTTTCGAAACGTGGCAGTATAGACGGCTTGGAAGAGTTTTTCGTAAATGGCAAAATATTGTTAACATTTAAGTAAGATATGTTAGAAGTAATATCGAATGACCATTGAGCCGCACCCTTGAGCTACAGAACCGTAAACTATTCAATATTTTGCCTACCGAAATATTCAAGAACAGATTCTTATTTTATTCTTGCAGATGTTTTTTAGATTATAAAAGAAAATCTAGGAATTTATGAATAATTTGTGTGGATAACAGTGGTAAATATCATTTTGAATTGATAAACAAATAATAAGATAGCTGGGTTCCAAGCATCGTTTTGTAAATTTTATATTACCTTAAATTGCTCAATTCGCCAGATTTGTAACCCACATCGCTTGCCAGCACTTTGCCAAGCCAATTCAGTTCCTGCAGCTTCTCTCTTGACCTGAAAAATTGAGAAAACCAACTCTGCTTAAACTTCCGTGCAAGTGTGTCCTAACTTCTAAACAACTATCAGCAGCAAAAAGCTCAAGCAGCGCATTGAATGAGTATTTCAAACAATATAAATTACGTTTTTCTCGATATCAGAGCCGAAGAGAGCAAGATTGCTATCTTTCCAGTCGTACTCTTTGGCCTTCACTAAACCTTTAGCCATTTTAAGCGATATTTAACCTGTATCAGATAGGGTCTGCAACCTCTTTAGTATAACACAGAGCGCCTCAATCCAGCTGAGTGTCGCACTACTTTCATTACACGCCCAGATATGCTGTCTTCACTACGTGATGACAACAGTTAAGTGGCAACTACTTCGCATTGGTTAAAAGACAATGGAAGTCAAGGGCTTAGCGCCTTTCAAGGTGATCTTGTCACGCATAAGAATCTGTCAATATTCATGAGTTTGTTCAAAATCTTGATGATTGATTGCCTATGAACTTTATGAATGCGGTGTTTAATGCATGTGGGTGAATGTTCTTATTTCTCTGTCTTATTAAATTATTTAACTTTAAATGCAATATAAAATTAATGAAAATGCCAAAAAACTGTGCCCTATACGACCTGCGTTCCAGAAAAGTATCTGCGACAACATAAAAATTAATGGAAACCTTTAAAGAACATTTGAAGGGCTTCCTTGATAACGACGAAAATTTGATAATAAAAACATAGCAAAATAAAAAATAAATAAAATAAATAGAAATGAAGAAACAAATGAGATTCTAATTCTTGCGAGCCGTGCAAGATAATTATTTTTTGATCTGAAATGTCCCTCCAGGGCTTCCGTAACTACTTCCTGTATAAATACAGCAAAAAATAAAGTTAAAAAATAATAATAATGTATATATAAGTTGTTTTAAAAAATAAAGTTTTTAAAGTTTAAAAAGTTTTTTGTACAATTTTTTATTGACTCCCAAATCGATGAACTCGTATTCGTAGGAATATTTTCGTAGAGAGTTTTAAGAGAGAAAAAATACATTTGTGAAAACATATAAACGGACTTTTTCCAGAAAACAAAGTCAAAACATAAGTTAGAAAGAAAAAAAATTGTATACTCCATAATAGCATTTTCGCACTCAATGCTAAACAATCGAAGAATAATGGAGCATAGTGTCTAATGAGCAAAACTTCGAAGCCAATATTCAAAGTGCTGTACAAATTAAAGAACAGACAGTATCATGAGAATAGGCATTATCATAATAATTAATGAAATTTTTAGAACCCTCTTTTAACAGATTTACCCTCTTTTAGGAACTCAAAATAAACCATAGTTAATGGAAACGACACTACCTTAGTTTATGGAAACAAGCGTTTTGTTCGTGCGAATAAAAAGAATTATGAAAGGTAATGATAAACAAGTGAAATTTGGCAAAGTTTAAGAAAAATACAAGTTATTGACGATTTAACTTTCGTAAGGTGTATAAATGATTGAAAAAATATATAATAAAATAATAATAATAATAATAAAAACGGAATGAATAAAAAATCTAAAATATTAAGAGTAGCGAACGAAAAACAACGAATAATTGATAACAGAATGAAGAGTTCTTGAAGTTTTTTAGGTAATTTAAATCAAAAACAAAACATATCCGTTTTTATTTTTACTCCATTAGTAAACAGAAACATCAAGTGTTTGTAGTTTTAAAGCTACGGTATGCGAAGAATGAGGTTACTTTACGTTATACAAAATTTGTTGAGACATTAATAGTAATTAATAGTGCGTCTCTGTGAACTACTTAACTAAAGCCATTCACGTGAAATCGCGTGTCAAACAGTATTTTTCGCTCAGCTTCAGTGATTTTCAATTTAAGTCTAGGATGACGTCATTCAAGTGTTTAATGGTGAATACAGTATTCATGGGATTAACAAGATTTAAGATAAATCTGAATCAGTGACGGTTTTCAGTCATTTCGAAGAGAGTTAGGAGACTACGTTCTGGAGGCAATGTTGGGGGTTTTACCAAAAGACATTCATTTGAAATATATTTTATTTGAAATTTGTTAATTTGTTAATGAATTTGAACAATTCTGAATCAATTATTGTTAGGTGCCATTGGGGAAAGATTAAAAATTCCACTGGTAAACTGACTGCTATATTAACGATGAAAATATGAATATTATGAGAAAAAAGTTATTTGGTAAAACTTTTTGTGGTGAATTTTGCCTTTTTTACATTCGAGTTCCTGAAACGGTTATTTACCAAGTCAAGAATCTGGGATCACGAAATGTCACTTTCTGAACAAAATATTCACTGATTGTAAAAATTTTCAAAGATGAATTATATCGCCTTGATGAGCCCAGAGTACTTGAGTACGCGCCAATGTGGTTACGTCACAGTTATTGTGGGACATCATAGGTCTTAGACGAGAATTACGACCAAAAATGGTAATGTATATCACAAACTATATAACAGACGCTCATCTTAAGTGCTGAACGAACACTAAGTACATTTACGCAGTTAAGGTGCATGGTTGCGTCAAATAACTGGTCGCAAATTAAGCCAGATATAAACGTGGGTCTTTCTTAGTGTAGCAAGCTTTCTTGTAATTCTGGGTTAGGGTTTTTTTTTTTGCAGGGTATTGTTTAGCTCTAAATCCATTGTCTTTGGCAATTATTTTGTCTTAATGCTTCAGGTGCCTTGCAACAGCAAGAAAGAGCCGATATAATCGTGCTGATATTGGCTCCTTTTGGCGTTGAATGTATCGAGAAAAAGAGATCATTTGAGCTGATTCTAGAGCTGTACGTTTGGTCGCACATTGAAAGTAAGAAAGGAAACATGTAAGAAGACCAGGATGAAAGGAAAAGAGAAGGGAGAAAGTATAAAAGGGGATTGGAGAGAAGATGGAAGGAAGGGGGAGGGAAGGAGGGAAGGAAGGGTGGAGGGAAGGGAGAATGGATGGGTGGATAAAGGTAGAGAAGGAAGGATGGGAGGGGGTAGAGAAGGAAGGATGGGAGGGAGTAGGGATGGAACGGGGTGGGAAAGTAAGGATGGATTGTGGATGGAAGGATGGGTGGGTGGATACGTGGATGGATGGGATGAATAAATGAATTTTTGTAAGGCAAGTAAAATCACTCACTAAAATCACTAAATTTTCAAGCAAATGTCAAATTTAATGCTTGAAATAGAATAAAGTAAAGTTTACCCATTTTCCATCACCTAGTTTTCTAGGTCATAGACAAAAAAAAGCAATTCATATTTCTGCAGCCAAACAACTGACTCTAGCCTGCGTACAGCCGAACTATTAAACCAGCTGTTAAGAAAAGTCCGGCTGCACGTAGGCTAGTGACTCCAAACTGGCACGTTTTCTTATGTCTTGTAAACACGTCTTTTTTTGCTTGCTATAAATCAAACCCCAAGATGTCTTCACGTTGTCGCAGAAGCATGAAAAAATTCTTCATCTGTCAAAAATTAGGTCATTTAACTATATCCCATGGAGCAAGGAAACCACATCGGTTCCGCCCGGGCATAAAGACATTTCACTTAGAGTTGTTGCATATCCTGGATGCTGTTGAAAGCGCTGCTTGTTATTTATATTATTTGTACCATTTTTTTATCTTATGATAACGATTCTTTCAAGATTGATTGCAAGCTTTCACAATAAGCCTTTTCATAGTTTAAGAATCGATTCCACTGCGCATGCGATTTTATCCCGAATTTCTCACCTTCTTTTGTCTAAACCTTCTTTTGTTCTTAATTAAACAAAAGAAGGTGAGAAATTCGGGATAAAATCGCATGCGCAGTGGAGTAGATTCTTAAACTATGAAAAGGCTTATTATATCCAGAAAAAAATGCCAGTCGGGATGCTCACAACGTCGAGCTTTTCTTGAGGATTTTTTCATGAATTTTCAACATAACAAAATGTACAGTACTTCATTACCTGATTGTTGATCTAGCCACGCAGACGTCGTCTTTGTTTATCTGTAAAACCATCTATTAAATGTATATTTTTAAAGCTTTTAGACTGACCGACCAGAAAAATAGTTCAAACTGTCCGCCATTTTGTATATTACCAAACAAAACCGCTGCCCCAAAGTAATGCCATCCATAGTTCGTGAAGACATCGGAAACTACCTCGGGTTTCCGATACTAATCCGAGGACACTGAGGACTAAAATCGGCCAAGATTCGTGAATAGAAGGGAGTAATATAAAAGGGGGCCAAGTGGGCCAGCCCAACTTCTTTGTTTTGTTCAGGGTTTCAGAGACTTAAACAAAATGGCAGATTTTTGAATTTGCCCCCACCCTCCCCTCCTTCAGAAAATCCTGTTTACGCCCCCGTTTTATCTATTTCACTGGTACCATCAGTCTATCTGATGAATGTTAATATAATTTTACCCTGAAAAGAATAGTAAAGTGAGTAACAAGATTTTTTATTTCAATTTTTTTGTCTTTCATTAGTTCCATCTACTGTTTCTTCCATTTTGTCTAAAGAGGTCCATTCAAAGGCAATAACTACAACTATTCTACTAGTCTTACAAACTAACTAGGTCATACATACAAGGTTCATTGGTGCTTACTCAAAAGGCAGGTAGCCAGTAATTGGTGTAAAAAGCTTATTCATATCTTCAGAAGAGACTGAAAACTAGTAGTGACAAACACCGAAGTGAGGCCAGTAGACTATGGCTTAGAGGAGCCCTCTTTTTAATACAATGCAATTTGAAAAACCTAGTACATTTATTCTTTCTTTTCCCCTGATGCATTTATAATCATCATGAGCCAACCATTTACAGAATGTCAGACTGCATGAAAGTGTGTGCCATATTTAGGCTTGTTCAACTAGCCTCATTTCTGTGTTCAACAGCTACATTTCACAAGCTATTCCCAGAGATATAAATAAGGTATACATTGAATCCAAACATGGTGACCAATTTGAATAACTGTTCCATGTTGTTCTGCACTGACTAGCGACTGAACAGCCCTTCATACATGTGAAAATGCTTTTATGTTTAGTTTAGCTTAGTTCATCAATATTTCGTCAATAGAAAATAACAGACTCTAACACAGGGCAACACCCCAATTACTGTTCAGCCCCTACATGTGAATACTAGGCGTAGCAAGTCGCTAGTCAGTGCAGGCCCGGTTGTACAAAGCCTGGATAGCGCTATCCGACGGATAAATTGTACCCAGTGGGTAAATTCATTGGATAACAGCATCACTTTATCCACTGGATAAGGATTTATCTGCCGGATATTGCTATCCAGGCTTCATACAACCGGGCCCAGAACAATAGTTATTCAAATTGGTCACCATGTTTTGATTTGGTGTATACAGCAACATGTACAAGGTGATATAGTTTGTCTTTTGAAATCTTGAAATGATCTTCAATTAGAAAGCTTTGTTGAATTCATTGGATTCTGCTCCACCTTTGATGCAGGTTACTGGAAGAAGAGGATGCTTAGTGCTGCTTAGGTAATTCTAGAAATTGAAAAATAATAATAATACAACTTATTAGTATTGAACAAACCACCGTTCGAGAAGATTCAATGAAAAATACCATGTGGCTTAATACCATGAGTGTGTAGCACACTTGAAACATATCTACAAAAAGCAAGTTGATCATAATAGTTGGCAAAAATTTCTGGGTACCATACAAACTGTGCGTGCAATTATTGCACAGCACTTGCTTTCAAAGATTACAGTGCAACTACTGTAATAACCAGGGCCAATTATAGACCAGGTAGCCAAGGAACCAATTAAAATGTAGAATGAAAACA